TACCTATTGCCTAGCGTAGAAGCTTGAGCATCTAGGCTTTGAGTACCTTTGCCAGCAAATTAGCAGGCAGAATCTTCGTAACGATGTAGTAGATCTTCAGTAATTCATGCTGGACGCTATTTTAATCAAAGTAGTCCCTGATGTTCACGAGTTTTGTGCAAGCATGGTAGCCTGCGTTTCTCGCCAAAACTATAGTCCTTTTGTTGTCTTACAACCGGAGCATTACTGATACTGATCAAAACACGACTGTCAGTCAAAAGTATGCTGCACCAGTGCCGCGGGGTTCCCGTAACTCTTTGCTTAGCGGAACTAAGCTGAGGTCACTGACCCTCCGATCTATATTAGAACAATTATGAGTGTAGCGGATCATAACCCGCTACCTCCAAGAGTACCCAAAATCTTGAAAATACACTCTTCCGTCTTAAATCCAAACTGTATTTATCTGTTTTATTTGCGGCGAAGCCGCCTATATCTAAATTTATAGTTTTTTGATTAAATAGTAAAACCTAATTGATATGCATAACTACTGATAGTGGCTTTTTGTTACGGTGTAGCCACACCTTTGAGCGATTACACCATCTTGTGTGACCCACCCTTTCATACCAAGGTACGTGGAACTCCGTTACAACCAGTCTACATATCCGAATCCACCTTGGTACTACATATCAAATTCACCTTGGTAGCTGTATCCATGATGGACGAATCGACTCCAAATAGTGCAATTTTGCAACTCGGGATTTTTGCGAAAACAAGACAGCTGCGTGACGACATACGCGATGTTCCGACGAGTTCACACTTTAATATTTAGCAGACATCCAATAAGAGAGTGGAATGGTCTCAAGTGCATTTTATAACCCCTAGCTTCTACTGTAATGTCAGCATTTTGAGACCGGACTGACACGTATTGTCGACGACTTTGGTGCTTTCCTGGCCAAAATGCTCGACCACGGTGTCAATGCAGCGTGTAAATTTGACGATTAAGGTTCCAGCTGTTCTTTCGTGGTAGATTTCATGTTCAAGATAAATTTCACCACGCAATGAACCTACTTCTTAATAAAGCTGTTTAGTATCCCCTCGGTCTCAAATTTTTTGCCACTCGACTTGGCTGCAATGATCATATCATCGACTTACAGACATATGTATAAAAATACTTTATTAGATTTTCTCGTAGACGCTTTGGACCTCTCCACAGCATTAAAAATGATATTTCTAGAGACATGATCAAACATCGTGCCACACGCGCTTGCATCTCGCTTGAGCCCATATATATGGCCTAGTTCAGCAGAAACGCGAAGCCTCGAGCTCCTTTCACACCTAGCAGAGTTTCCATGTAAACACGATCTCCCATGAGAAAGACGGTGTTGTCGTCCTGCCGATCCATCTTTTAGCCAGATACCACACAAACGGCCAGTAGAACGCAAATTGAGTTCAAGTCCGCCACTGGATGAGTAATTTTTTTTAAGAATTTGTCGCTTATTGTCTGCTTAAAACCCTTAGCCACCAATCGTGCCTTGTATCGCACCATACTGCCATATTGGCCCCGTTTCGTAGCAAAGACCCAACGGTATTCAATCGTACGCTCATTAAGTTCTCGTGGAAAGATCCCCATGTCTTTTTTGGTAGTGTGATCCTAATTTCGCGTCCATTGCCACGGGCCACTGTTTTGCCTCGTCACTGAAGTCTGATTCTTCTTCAGCACTTACAGTATCAGCGAGAACTGCTTCTGCTAAAAGGCCGTCCTCGTCGATCTTTGCACGCCTTGAGTCACATCCTCTCAAACATTTTTCGTCATCTGATACGTTCTTCAACATCAATATCGGCCCGCGTACACACCTTAAGCGCTCTATTTTTTTTAATTGGAATACCAATTTGGTCTTTTTGCAACGTTTCGGCTGAAATTTGGTATAACAATCGATCTTCCAGTACAATTTGTGCTGAAGCTCTGTACTATGTGAACTCGGGTGTGCGTACCCGTGAGACCCAAATGCTTAATAATGATCCATCCAAAGCTTCACCTCGAATCAAAGTAGTGTTCGGATTAGTTGAACGGTTAAACAGGTACACTGCAGTGCTAAACGTCACTGCCCACCAACAGGTTGGAACACACTTGTAGTGAAGTATGCTCTGCGCCTTATTATAATTCCGTGCAGCTCTTTCGCTCTTCAGTTCCGTTCTGTTGGGGGCTGTATAGTACTGTGGTGCAGTACTGTGGTGCAGTAATATACAGCCCCCAACAGAACGGAACTGAAGAGCGAAAGAGCTATCCCGTTTACAAAGTCTATTCCGTGATCTGTTCGCAAAACTTGATGCAAGCTACCCATTGATATTCATACATGGCATTCAACATCTTGATCATTTCGGGAAGCTCACATCTTCTTCGTTTAGACATATACCACCACATATCGCGAGTAATCAATCAAAAACGCTAAATAAAAACTCTCCCTTCTAAAGCGCGTACATGGGTTACGCGGTGCTATGAGACGGCAAACAAGTAAGACAATTTTGATGGAGACATTGCGCAAACGGTATGCCTGCGCTGAAACATGGCGTAAAGACCTTGTGTGGTAGCTGCACATAGGGCAAGCAGACGATTGAAGCATTTCCAGGATGCTCTGTAATGAAGACATCACGTTGTTGGATTTAGCGCAACTGATTATCAGCTATCTGCTGACAATGCAGCGTGTAAGCTGTACGGTATATTGTCCCAGTCGCCACAGCAGTTCTTGCCCCAAATGGTACACAAAGCACGCTTAAATTTTACACTCGGCAAGCTTTCCCACCACCGAACGGTAAACGCCTGAAGAATTTTTAAAATATAAAATACGGCCAATAACTATCATTTTTCAGCACATTATGTATTTTGATAGTTCTCGATTCTCTGGGATCACTGCAACATCTACAGACCTAGCACCATAGTATGTAAAGATCTTCGAAAAAGTATCGTTTTATGCGTTCGACTTGGTCCCCACATCAATTAATAGCTTCTTCTGGGCAATATAGCTCGCGCTACTGGACTTGCTCGCCCCGTCTTCCATTGCGTTGACTGAGCCAGCCACTCCTCCATCTTCTGGTCTTGTTCGTCCTTATTAAACTTTACTTGTTCCAGCAAAGATCCTGCTCTTTTTGTATATTATCCATTCCGATAGTTGTGAAACTTATTTCATTATTACGAAGAAATGCAATTGTTTCAGATGTTTCTCGAAAATGAGTACTTCGGCTTTGACTTCGGATCGCGCCGTTGTAGACTATGTATCAAAATTTTTGGCTTTGACAGTTTTTAAAGCAAAATTTCATCAGATCGCAAATATATGTGACTTTACGAAATAGAAGGAATGAAGAACGCTGATGATGGTGCACCTGGCTCCGTGTTGGTGCCGACAAAAGCTGAGGCTCATTGCAGTAGCGTATGACGCTGTAAGGTAATTATGACATCAGCTAAACAATTTCGGTTGCATCTATATAGAAGTTCTACCAAAGTTTGTTATGTCACGTCATCCATGAATAATAAGATCTGATATTGCAAGGCGATTGTACTGTCGCCGTAAGCTTGTGATACGGCACGTGGCGTTAACAGTGCAATAACTCCCTAAGTTATTAGCCAACCTGGCTTAAGTGATCATTCTTCACGCTATGCATAACAAATCTCATAATATCTTCTTAAGTATACATTGTTCCGACTGACCAGCCATTTACATGCACCTCGTTTTGAAGTTACCGGACTGCATTGTGTGACTCTGGAGACATTAGGGATGGAAAGTCATACAAGCTAATTATGTCGTTGATGTAGCCTGAACAGCGACTAATTTTAGTCCTGTCTCAGCGAGAGACAACAGTGACGATGCACTCACTTATCGAGTTGAAAGCTCGAATTAATGTGCTCAACTACTCATAGCTGGCTATAGCAGAGTATAGCTGACTATTTGCTTCGTTCTAAAGAGCATAAGATTTGCAGCGTTTAGCAATGTATTTTAACTTACATCAAATCAATCTTCATGTCAAAACTATCGGTGCAACACTAAAAAATGTATGATCAAAATTTGATACGACTTATCAAAGGTTGCGCCACGACGTCGATGCTACGTTTCGTAGCATCGATAGGCGTATAGTTTCAATACCTTCAATGATGCGGTCTGTTGATTGGAGGGACTTATTAGGCACGATAAAAGCCATGCTAACTCATACCACATGAACAAAATATAACAGCAAGAACAAGAATCTTTTCCTGTCGCAAATTTCGACTTGGCGATTCACCCTGACGATACTGCTCAGCAAGCGTATGAGAAAAGTAAAAGAGAGGCTCAGCTTTGAAGTATATCAATGAGATTGCGGCTCAATGCATATGATCGAAACCTGTTCAAAAGATTTGCCAAACTTGAAAACTTATAATGATATAAAAGTTGGAGTGCGCAAGTCGCCAGCGCAAATGCATTCACATGCTTGAGTAACATCGCGTATGTCACCATTGAATATCGAATTGTGCAAATCACAGCGATATATGTCACAACCACATTGAGGTATAAGCTGAATCGACTTTTAAGGTCGTCGCCGACTGTTATAATAAGATCTGCCCATAGCATATTGATAAAATTTTGATCTTGGGCATTCATCCAGACACATTCACAAAATTAATTTACACGGAAAAGTTGAAATTGTTTTAGGAGCATATAACTGAATATACGCCCCTCTGGAAAATGATCCGAGGAAATTCGGAGCCTTTCTTTCGGGCTGCCAACTTGAATTACGCTATGCGTTCCTACGTACTTACTTGAAGAAAGCCGAGAAGATTCAGTCCAGCGATAGTTGCTCTTCGCTCTCATTTATTGCATCAACAAAGAAAACATGTTATTACCTGATAGTTGAATCATTTACCATTTTGCAGTGGTCAGACAACATGCCGAATATCAATCTCATAATTCTTTCTCTCAGCGCATATGTCGCTGTCTCTGATACCGCAGGAACTTGTCCGTCCATAGAGACCAATGTCGACTATTCTGGGGTAGATGTCGGCAATGCTCAAAGTAGCTCAGCGAATGGCTGCTGCTCGATCTGTGCTAGCACGAATGGGTGTGGCGCGTTCACGTGGACGAATTATAATGGTGGCACGTGCTGGCTCAAACAGTCCCAAGGAATATCTCGACCCAACACCGGAGCCGTCTCAGCTGTTCTTTACGCCTCTTCCTCATCCCCAACCTGTCCGAACCTCGAGAACAACGTCGATTACTCTGGTGTGGACGTTGGTAGCACTCAAAGCGCTTCAGCGGATGGATGTTGCGCAGCCTGTTCCGGCAATAGTGCGTGTGGTGCATTCACTTGGACGAGTTACAACGGTGGAACGTGCTGGTTAAAAAGCTCGAAAGGAAACTCAAGAGTGAGCAACGGAGCCATGTCTAGTGTCGTTGTCAGGTCCTCGTCGCCAATACTTCAAACTTCACCTTCTTCTGTCGATCCTACGACTACAAGCTACTCACTCTCAGCATTTGCCATCGGTGACTGGGGTACCACAACTTATAAAAGCTCATGTTGCACACGCTCTAGTTCGTACAACAACTACGACGTCAATGCTGAGGATGTTGTAGCCATTTTAATGAACACGGAGGCTGGCAACATGGCAGTCAAGCCTAAAGTAATTATTGGACATGGAGATAACTTTTACTGGACGGGAATTAATAGTTTTGAAGGCCGCGATTGGCGTTTCGCCACAACGTTTGAAGAAAAGTTCAACGGGAACAATATTCGAGCAATTCCGTGGGTGAATGTACTCGGTAACCACGACTACGGTGGTGCCAGTTACGTCTGTAATGATGGTGATAATAATGCTCGATGTGCAAATACTGCTGAATTATTGCAAGGGATTGAAAACAAGTTTCAATGGCAATCTACATACACGAGTCCGAATGATAATCGCTGGCATCTACCGGATCATTCTTACGAATACTGGATAGAGGATGCTGCCACGGGTGTGAGCATTGAAATTTTTAACATTGACACAAATGATGCCGACGTTCATGGGGCGATGCAAATTTGCTGTCAATGTTATGGTTACTCGAATGGTGATAGTGCCACTTGTCGTAATGTCGGTCGTGGTCACCAATTTTGTTGTGGTGGAGATACCGCCATGTTTGATGCCTGTATGGCCAAGTTTAAACAGTGGGGAGATGATTCAAGAGCTCGAATCACCAGACGAGTGAGAGACTCAACAGCCACGTGGAAGATTGTCAATAGTCACTACAGTGCCTACAACCACTATGGGGAGAATGGTATGCGACAGTGGTTTGACATTTTACGTGGCTCGGGGGTACACGTGTGGCTCAATGGCCACACACACGGTGAAAAACATGACTACTCGGCGTCGCTTGGTATTCACTTTATCGAGAATGGTGCCGGTGGTGGCATCCAGCGAGAGGCGGCGAGCGGTATTCCTGCTTACGCGTCGAGCTTTGTCAAGAACCTATGGACGTACTCAGCTGACGAATACGGCTTTATGTCACTCCAAGCATCGAAAAACTGGCTCAAGCTGCAGTATCACACGGCAGAAAAATCGTGGCAGTTTGGAGAAAATATCCAAAGCACCAAGATTGGCGGCGTGGCGACCAAACATTGCTGGTATATCCCGTCTGACGGCGGAGAGGGCCGTCGATGCTGATTGGCCCGGTTACGCTGCAAAGTGTGTCTTTGATCTGTTGAACTTATGTCATATGTGTCATCCTGTTCAATATCTTACCAGCCTTACACTTGCCATGTAAGCTTTGACATTTGACGTGCCTGACATAGCTCCCCATGATTTTACGTGTAGCTCATTAAATTCTGGTAGTCAAGCCGTGGTATCCATAACTTTAGCCTTAAGATAGGTGTGTCGAAGTGTACCTCAGCACTGTCACTTTAAGCTCGCAGGAAGACAAGGCTGATTGACACAGTTGCCACTACTTGACGAAGATAAAATTTTCATGTACATTTATTTCCCGATTTTAAGTGCGAATTTAAGCTCGAATCTGCTTGTCAGCTTGAAGATTATTATGCTTAGACACTGAAAAACAATGAGACCATTTATCTCTAAAGTACTTCAACATGAAAATTGTATCATCAGAAGACTCCCCGCCGAGTGGTGTGGCGCTGGTGTACTGGAATGTTTGGAAAAGAGGGTGTAAAAGTGACATAACTGTCCCATATCAATTTTAAAATCTGAAAGTGCACTGTTCACTTGTGACCTAATCGCTCCTGCACATTGTCGCTGCAACCGTAAATGGTCTTCATGACACACTAGCTGCAATTTTAATACTTATTTACAAGTAAGCTACGGACAGGTCATAGCAGCTCGTCAAAGTCAAGCATCGGATCAGACAATTTCACATGCTAAGGAAAGTGTAATTAGTAAGTACTTCAGTTTAATTTTCCGAATTGTGTCCATGCTTGAAAACCGAGAAATGGAAAGCGGTTTGGGGATTACAGATGATCTTGACGAATGTGGCGTTTAGTAAAATGAAATTAATTAAACGGAGCCACCGTAAGCTGACAATAACGCATCTCCATGAAACTGGCGCCAGCCAGCCACCAGCTCATCGTAGTGCTTTGGGTGATTACGATTAAACGCGACAGGATCCTAATTAAAAGACATCCGACAAATGTTAGCTATAAAGCAAAGTGAGTTTAATATTCAATTTCCGTACCTCGGCAAAGCAAACAAAAATGGTATGAAGAGCCGCGATAATCACGTGGGCCAAAATCAAAGCCACGCTGAGACCGACCACAAAGCCAATCAGAGCCATCGAGCTGTAAGCACTTGTTCGAGAGCCGAGAGCACTAAACCATTCCATGGGCGAGTAGCGTACCATCAGCATTCCAACACAGCACGTGACGATTCCGACACCCATCGCCCCAAAAGTAAGTGCACTTGACGTCAAATCGTCGTTGATTACTGCTGTCCATCCGCGATTAGTAAACAAATCCATCACTGCCTTGCCACTTTTGCGAAAAGGGTACCCGTACACACCGACGTAGACATACGCCCATTGATTTACATACTCCATCACACCTGCTAGAAAACTGAGGACACATTCGGCCATGCAGGCAAGACATGCCAATCCTCCACTACGCTCTTCACGGGCTCGACGCTTCGCCGCGTCTGCCATGGTCCTCAAAGCCTGAAGAACAGCCACAATCAAGGATCCGAAGCAAATAGATCCGAAACTCGTTGTGATCGAACGGTAGAGCGCTCCAACCGTCGCTTTTTGAGCATTGGGCTGGTACCACCACGTCGCAATCACTCCTGCAGTTGTGCACGTAAGTATATTCTGCAACACTTGCTGTCCCCAGTATAATCCCACCAGCATGTAAAATATAGCAGCATAGGCTGGGAACTCAACACAAAGACCTCCGCGATTCCGTCCACGACTAGCAAGATCAATCTCTCGGTCGCAATTGGGATCAGCTTCCAAAAATAACTGGTGCATGCCTAAGCTAGCGACATACCACAGGAACATCCACGCCAATTGCTGCAACACGAGCACAAAAGCTACAGCAAAAATCGCGGAATGTTCTTTCAATCCCGCACAGGCCGCCTTTAAATTTGCTGAAGCAAAGCCGATTCGATTTTGCACCGCATAAATATAGCACACATTTAGCGCGGCCAAGCCTGCAAGGAAGAGTGCTGCCCAAACATTGACGGAAAATGTGGACACAGCAAAAGCCAGCACCATGCCAACGTTCAGCCAAAGAGCGATTGTGATCATGGAGGACGCGTACGTCGTTAGCAATTTAACCCAAGCCAGCGATAATGCGGTTCCAATCACACAAAGTAGCGCAATCATCGTCAAAGCAACCGAGTGTCCGTTCGGGATACGTCCATCACTCCTGTTTTTATCCATTTCCTCTGTAAGGGTAGGCAACCCTTTAAAAAAAGCTAAAATACTTAGGATGATGACGTTAGCTAGAAACATAACAGCAAAAAATGCATCGTTGCATTTAATTGTCGACGACTCAGGCCTCAAACTCGAGATGGCGCGGGACGAAGGCGGAAGCGGACCCTTACCACCACTTGAGCTCATAAGCATTGGTTCGGTCTCACTCACGGGTGCGTACATGGTCTCTGAATCCGAGTCGGAATCGGAGGATAAAGCGGGAGCGGAAGCGGTAAACGTCTTGAAGAATTACAGAGTGAATGTATGATTCGGTTCGAGAATTCTTTTATCTGGTACAATTGTGGTGCCCTAAAATCACAAATACAGTTTTGATTGGTCGAAAAAAACTTACAAAAAAAAATGAGCACTGTACATGCTGTGAATGATGTGGCGGCCGTCAGGCCGATGGGACCTACCAAAGGTACGCAGTTAGTTGCTTTAATTGTGAATGTATACATTAATTACTACAATAATGCATTTATGCGATGACTAAAATGGTTTGCTTTTTGTATTGCAGTGACACTGCAGTTTGTGGCAGTGGGTAGCGCGCCATTAATGAAGCGCACTAAGTTTACTGTTAATGGCCAAGATGAGCTAAGCGTCGTGTACAAATTCTTAAGGAAGCAACTCCGACTAAAAGATTCCGACTCTTTGGTATCTAATTAGATGATTCACCACAATCGACAATAAGGGCGCTCTGACAGAATTTACAGTTTGTGTATTGCAACAGTTCATTCGCGCCGTCTCCTGGTCAGAGGCTAAGTTCGCTGTATGAGGTGCGAATAAAATGTATTCTGGTCAGATGGTATTGGAAAATAATTTTCTGCGTCGATATTTAATGCTGGAATAATAGTGCTTTCAAGTTGGTGATGTCCTCGTGCTAAATTATAGTCTTACGCAAGCTTGGGGGTGATAGAAGTTCACATTACAAGCGTGAAAGTATTGAAATTACGATTTATAGTAATGGCAGTTTGACTTTTCAAAAGGTGGAGTCGACGTTCACCCAACGAGAGCTTTGACCTCAGCACGAGAAGCTTTGTGACGCTGCTGAAGCAATTGTAGTTCGGCATCAAGCTCGTCGTCATCCGAATCATTGTCTGTGTATGCATGTGCGCTCTTTGGCTTTATAAATTGATTGCGTGAAAAATCGGTTTTATCGGTCAATAGTTCCGTGTCTGTTTTTTGAGATGATCGTGGTTTTGGAACGCATTTTGCAAACGCAAGTCCTTTTTCACGACTTGATGCAGGTTTAGACACGACAACTTGTGCTCTTGATGCATCTGCAGGCCTATTTGCCTGTGTATTCTTATTAATCGTCCGTCTATTTTGGGAGAAAGCTTTCATGCGTTCGATCTTTGCACGCTTCTCTACAAGTTCGTCCGTATTTAAGTCTGGCTGAAGCTTTCCCAGCTCGAAATATCCATCTGGTTTCTCCTTTCTGTATTGGGACAAATTACATGGTTCGTATTGAACAGGTCGTGCTTTACGACTAAAAGCAAGTTGATCATTTGGAGCCTTAGTATCATTACTCTCCTTCTGTAATCGACACTCTTGTGACGTGCTTTGCATGTTTGCGTTCTTTAGGCGGCGCCCTTGAAACTTGGTACCTTTGACATCTGTAGGAAGCTGACTACCTGCAACATCGTTGCTGACTCGGCCTGGAAGTCCCGTCATCTCATCATCATACTCGTAACAAGGGGCTTCGCGAGCACTCTGAGATGGGTAAGAGTGAGTTAATTCCCATTGAGACTCTTCCGGGGATTCTATATAAGAACCCTTCATATCTACCGGTGGCGAAACAGCAGGCTTTGTAGATACAACCGGACCAACGTCAATCCAGCTTTGAATGTTTGTTGGCTGTCGGATCTTTGTATGAACATTACGGTCATCATTGTTATTGTCAGGGAGAAGCTTATGCACTTGGCGCTGTGGCCTACGTTTAGGTGCCCCAACACGAATTTCCTCACTCCCGTCAGCTTTCTTGAGATGCCCTTGAGCTGTCACAGTCGCAATTTTCCCCCGAAATCGGTCCAAGAAGCTCATGTTGCTTTTTAAGGAAAATGGATCATCAGTAGACCTAACCAAAGTGAGTATATTTGGGAGATATGAATAGCGTACGCTTTATTCGACATCACCAAAGTAACGGATGAGCTTACAAATTACAGATTTTCATCAGCATATATTAGCGTTTGCGTATTCTTATAGCATCTACAGTCTATCAAAACTAATGACATATTTACCGGTACATGGTTAAAAGGTTGTGACAGTTTTGATCAAATAATCCTTGGTAATCCTGAGCATCATATACCAGTATTCACTCTAAATCTTTGTGGGACGAAAGTGATGAAGCGTGCCAGCACAATTCAAGCAGGTCAAGGGATTAATGTCTCAGATTACCTTAAGCTGATATGTTAATGGTGCTCGGTTATTGTTATTGTGATTATCAATCTTTTTGGTCGACTTCCGAATTTTGTGTTTGCATTAACACAAATTGTTGGGATTTAAACTAAAGTATTGATTAGATTTTGAATTCTTTCCACAAATTGAAATACTCTTATTTTTTGAAAGCTAACGAAAAACGTCAGATATTCAAGCACCATATTTTGGTGCCAAACCGAGTCGAAATGCCATCTCCTTCATAAAAACGCGAGCATCCATTTCTCTATAACAACCAAGCTTGTCCACCTCTGCTTCGTCAAAAGTTTGAACAGCGTCACGACGAGTCTGGTCCTGATACAAACTAGCAAACATGAGACGTCGCCTAGGGTTCTCCGCATCATCTTCCAAATATTCATTATCAAATTTTGTGTAACTCTGCAGAGGCCGAAGTGGATGTGGCTTCGATGGCTTCATCACAGGAAAACAGCTGGTTTTCACGATAGAAACAAAGATCTTGCTGCTTCCATCTTTTAGATGCTGCGTTGAGAGCTCTGACACGAGAGAATTAATCCAAAATTCCTCGGAAAAGAACTGGTTTTTAGCCACTTCAATATGTACAAAAGTCAGCGCCTTTGCTATCTCAGGATCCATCAGTACCGAGACGATTTGAGTCTTCGTGTCCCTAACATCTTGAATGTGGTGCACCGTTGTTATTCCTGCGCTCTCAGCAATTTGAAGTGCAGAATTTGACGCGCTGTAGAAGAAGATGGGAATCTCTGGGTATCTTCACATTAGCAATTTATCTTAGCTTTATTGATCCATAGAAAAAAAGTGTATTTACACAAACGTACGCTAAATTGCCATTTGTACTTTGAACACCCAGCAGCACCAACAAGTCGCTGACCTTCATCTCTGGTAGCACTAGCATGCCACAACAGCCACGTGCTGCTACATCATCGAGTGCAGGTGAGCTGGTCTCTCCCTCACCGTCTAGAAAAAGAACAAAGATTTTCTGAGCAAGTTGGAGCGCTGGCATACTATGAGAAAAAGTAAGCAGGATTTTGAGATGCATAATTGTGTTCATCACATTATTTAGTGATCACGACAGCGACTTGTTAAGATGGCAACACAGAGCGAGACGACTTCGCTACTATCCACTTCTGTTAATCGTGACGAGCCTGAAGTGGAAGTGCGTAAAGAGTTTCTGGATCTATCCTCGATTGCGTTGCAGGTATCACTCGCTACTTTTGCCCGCATCGCTCTCTATTCAATCGATTATGCGTTTCTCGGGCATCTGGGTACAACAGAATTGGCTGCAGCTTCTCTAGCATCAATTTGGACAACAGTTCCGCTGCTGACTGTCTGGTCTTGCTTATCAGCTATTGTGACGCTGTGTGGTCAAGCATGGGGAGCTGGGAACACGAGATTGATGGGCATTTGGCTGCAGATGGGATTGACCTTGGTAACGATCTGTACACCCGCGCTGATGCTATTTAATTGGTTTGTAGGAATTGGACTACGTGCGTCTACAGACGAGAAAGAGGTCGTGCGTCTTGGAGTACGTTTTGCACGCATCTTGATGTTCTCTATCTGGCCAAATCTAGCGAATGCCTGTTTGCGGCTTTACTTTCAAGCTATGGGCGTCATGATGCCTACAACTGTCGTAGGCGTGATCACAATAATGGTCTCAATTGCTGCAAATTATATTCTTATTTACGGTGCATTTGGTCGCGTGGGCCTGGGGTTTGACGGGTCTGCACTGGCGACTGTCGTAGCTTCATGG